TACTCTCTAGTAATCCCATTGCCCGTTCGAGTCCCCCCTTCCATCTTTCTCTTTGTTGTGGCCTACTTCGTTCTCTTCGAAAAGTACTGTAAATTCAGACCAAGCAACCAACATTAGTGTTTTGTTTGAGATATTCCTTGCTATTTTAGCAGACAATGCAATCGATCGACTGATCTGAAATTGCCAGTCGATTCCATTTATAGCAACGTCTGGGCGTGAACAGACATCTCTTCGACATAAAACATAAGCTACTTTACCACCGAACAGCAGTGATCTCTTTTGTTGGCTGATAGAGCAGTTCTACACCTCACGATATCAAGTACTTCTTGAAACCCGCTCCTTCAAACCACAGATACGTAGCGGCACCCGATCCGCACTCCGGGGCAAGATGGAGGACGAGGTACTACGGTGTCCACCGCAGTCAGGAAAGGGCAAACTGTATGCAACGAGCATCTTCTGGAGAAGGGAAATATGAAGAACAAACCCTGGACCCATGCAACTTCACTTTACCGCCTTCCGCCGGACAAATCGGACTCTACACGAAGTAATACATATAGCGGGAGTTTGTTTAAATCTCAAAAGGCGTCGGTCCTCGCTATACGCGGTAGCTGGGGATGCTTCTGATGACTTTCTTCCCTTTTCATCTCATCTCCAATCCTCTTTCTCGTTGTTCATCTCGCCTCCCCGTTCCAGTCTCTGCCCGACCATGGTACGGCCACCGTAGGCAGATAATACACAGACTTGCAGACGGATCCGCGCGCGGAACGAACTCATGTAGTCGCAAAAGCGATGGAAAGAATTATAAAAAAGAAAATATCATCTCGTTAGATTTTTGCCCTCAGAATCCATTGCATGCAGGATACAGCGCATGCAGCGCATGGCAATGTATACAACATGTGCAATGTGATTAGAGTTCTCGATATGACAAGAAATCACACCTACTCTGTTGTACAACATAATTTGAACCATCATCCACCAGTCGGCCCACCAAAGAAAAAAGACCCCCACGGTACAATATGGGCGAGTTGTTCACCGCTTTCGCGGGACCGAAGAAAAAACGACCAGGGAAATGCGTCGTAGACGCAAGTAGGATCAATTTCACGAAGAAATTTCGCCGTAAACAATCACCGATAGTATGACATGCTACTTATATATCCTACTTTGAAAGGAAAATGGAGGGGGCTTACATGGGAAAGGCTGAGAAGGAAGAAAATAAATAATGAAAGCGTACAACTTGCTATATGTTGTCCGTATTTGGGGGCGAAACAAGGAGAATAACCGAGGCAAACATAGAAAACGGCGGCTCTTGTCACAACCAGTTGCTTTACCATCGTCGTCTTCTTCAGCAGCATCGTCAAACAGGGATGAATGGAGACGGGGTGTGGATAGGCAAGGATGAAGGGGAGAAGATTAAACGCCGTCCGATGAAGTCCACACACGACCCATTGCCCGATTTGATGGTGTAGCAACCCTGCATTTTTTTTTCTTTCCTTTTTTTTTGTCTTTGTCCGAGTGTGTGTGTTGGAGCAACCACCGCTGCTGCCGGTGGAGACGGCTTGCCTCGAACGTTTTCTCATCACCGCTTCGCTGCGCTGGCCTTTTTGTTTTGATTCAATTTTGTTCGGGCGAGGCCCGGGAAAGAAGAGAGTATGGTTCTGCGATGTACTTTGTGATCTGTAGGAGAAATTAACTCTCAACAACATGTATCCCAAAGAAATACAACACCCGTACTTCCATCTGTCCTGAAAACTTGCTTTGCTGTTTCGAATGTCTTCTTTTTTTTTTTTTTTTTTTTTTTTGCTAACCAAATCTTGCTCTCTTTCTTAGCTTGGCAGGGGTCAGTTCTGTTAGTGCCAACCGCTTTTGGCCTGCAGGGGACTAACACGACTTTGGATGGCCGATGTTAGGACAATGTGATTGGTTGGCTGCAGGTGGTACTGAATCGTGCCTTAGGCATAAATTTCCCCAAAAGCCACCTGCCTTAATAAGCAGACGCCGAAGTCTCCCGAATTTCCAGCGCCAATATGCGATTTTCCCCAGCGGACTGCTGATTCCTGCTGTACAGTTGCGCTGCTGCCGTGTTTGCCCGTCTCCGAGAAATGGCCGTTATGGAAAGGGAAGCTCGATGCTGTTCCAGAATGCACAGCAAAACTGGACGAAGCAAACCGATTCTCGCCGGTCAACCTGCAGGGTAAAAGTATGACAAAGTGTCGCAGTCCCCAGAAGCCCAGAAGATCATTTGCGCTCTTTGTTGGCCGAGATTAAGCCTTGTCGACGGCACACTTGACCAAACGGCGACGAAAATGAATAGGCTGGCTGTGTGTTCATATTCTCGTCTTAACAGCCGTCAAGCATACCTTCAGTGATCAGACTGGTTGTGAGTGCGGTGGGATTCGCGTGCTTCAAATCCCTATTCTCTGGGCGCCACGTAAACGCCCGTCAATTGTGGTGGCAGATTTGGTGTAATGGCACCACTGTGCCTGCAAGACCCCGGAATACTGACCTGCGAAATGGGAGAACCCGGAACGTTCCTTGTGCTCTCCCTGTGCCACGCTTTGCGGGACTCTGACGGACGAAAATCGGGGTTTGAACGGCCTCTGCTCCTGCCAAAATGCACCGCCGTAGTGCCTAATTTTGCGTCAGGGCACGCCCACACACGCCGACGACGGAAGGTGTCCACGGAGAAAAGAGAACGCCCTTTCTAGAATAAGATTTTCATGGTCTTTTTTTGACAGAATTAATTCCCGTGAGATGCGATTTGACGTCACGGCCGCTTCAGGTACCAGGGAGTCAAGAAAGATAACCTCGTGCGCTTCACACGGGGTTCGGCGCAATAGCTCGAAGTCAAAATATAAAGGTTCTCTTCCCATGGCCATGCAGGCTTCTGTTTGCCACTCCAGTCTCGTCCGAAGATAACATCAAGACACCTCACAGTCCAATTGTACCCATTGCATCAAAGCACCATACTTTACCGAGGGACATCACTATTGGAGCTCGACAGCAGAAACCCGAGAACCAATTGTACCTTCACCGCCTACAAACCGACTGTCACTGCTGTTCCAGTCCTGACAGCACTGATCGCAAACAACGGATCTTACGACATCCTTCCTAATACAGAAAAAAGGCCATTTCCGCGGAAACGAGACGCACGCGATTCGAGGCGCTCTTTCCTCTCAAATTTAGCTCCCACCTGCCGTCTCCACACAAAGGCCTGCCAAAACGCCAATTGCAGCGAATCGCACCTACCCGAACACCGGGAAAAGGAAGACGTCAGTCGATTCTGCAAACCCCGTAAGCTTCCCAATTCAGCCAACGGGACCTTCCTCGCCTCTTATTCTCTCACCCCGCCAAAAAAGAACATCGACACTTTTCCTCTTCCTCCATTCTCCGCCTACAACTCGTGCCTGTTGACATTGTCAATTGAACTCTTCTTTCGCAAAAGACACCCCATCTGCCAAACCCCGTCGACCAATCCCGTCGACACGCACTCGCCACGATGAAGGTCGTTACCAAGGACGAGGAAAAGGCCCACTACGACGCCGTCCTGCGTGGCGGCTTCATCGGCGGTGCGGCTGGCCTTGCAGTCGGCCTGCTCGGTCTTACCGCGGCCTCGCGCCGCTATGCCGGCGTCCGCAACCTGACCCTGCCGTTCCGCGCCTTCCTCGTCACCTCGGCGACCTCGGCGTCCGCCATCATCGTCGCCGAGCGCAACTCCATTGCCTTTGCCCGTTCCCGGGACTCCATGTACGGCTACCAGGACGCGTCGCAGCGCGCGGTCAGCGAGCTGCGCAGCAGCGAGTCCGGCAAGGACAAGACGCTGCAGTGGGCGCGCGAGAACCGCTACTCGATTGTCATGTGCAGCTGGGCCGCCTCGATCGGCATCGCCCTGGCCCTCGTCGGCCGCAACAAGTACCTGACGACCGCCCAGAAGGTTGTCCAGGCACGTGTGTACGCCCAGGGCCTGACGCTGGCCGTTATCCTGGCGACGGCCACGCTCGAGATGAGCGACGCCAAGTCGGGCAAGGGCCGCTGGGAGACGGTCAAGGTCGTCGACCCCAACGACCCGGAGCACAAGAAGCTGATTGAGAAGCGCATCCACAAGGAGGAGTACGAGGGCCAGGACTTGTGGATGGACATGGTCGCCGCCGAGGAGCGTCGCCTGGCCAAGTCCAAGGAGCAGAAGGAGGCCAATGCCAAGGCCGTGCCCGCTCCCTCGGCCAAACAAGACAACAAAGTTGGTGTTCCCGCTGAGAATTGATGGCCCCTTCCCCCCCCGGTGTTGTCTCAAAAGACGGCACACGTCCGGCTGAATCATCTGTATTAACACAACCGACGCAGTCGTAAGGAGTGATCGTCACTTGACATCCTCTTGCGCACGATACGACCTACACGTTGCCTGCGACCCGCGACATACACCATTCCCCTCTCACATTTTCTTTTTTCTTCTTGGTTTTGTTGCATGGACACGGCGTTTGTTTTATTGTCGTCCTTTCGCGGTTCCATCTATAGGAGACAAGGCGTTTACTGTTTTGCATATGTTTGTAAACTGAATCCGTTGGTCTTTGGTACAGAGTCTACAACAATCCTGTTTATCGGACAGAAAAGGGCAGCTGTATTCTGTTTATTTGTCAATTTTCTGATCCAAAATGGCATAGAATAAGCATACTATACTGGAGGATATAACGGAAAGATAACGTTCAAAATGGACATCTGAGTGAAGATGCATGATATCACACGAAACAATATTAACAACATGCTCCATATCTATCTATGCTGTGCTACTTTTGGTCTGAATGCCCTGCCGACATAGAAGTCTGCCGCCTTTTCGTCTTTCTTGTTAAAAAAATGTCATAAACTCGTGCTCCGTACAAAAAACGGTAATCGGATAGTAACAAAACCCAGGCCAAAACACAAAAGCTCAAAATGTGAACGGCAAACAAGCCCGCATAAACAAACACTGCCATTGTAAAGAAGAAAAAACGTTCGAAACACATCGAGGGTTACACCTCAATCGTAAAGTGGCTGATTTGCGAGTAGTAGGCGTGCACGGCCAGCTCCAGAGTCCACACGTCGTCAAAGACCTCGCCGCCGTCGAAGCCGCCAATCATGAGGAGCCGGCTGTCGTAGAGCACCGTACTGTGGTACCCACGGCCGCTCGGCGGCAGGCCGTACACCTTGCGCCGGTCCCACGTCATGGTCACAAGGTTGAGCAGCAGCACGTCGTTGGAGTACTCGGCGCCGTCGTGCCCGCCCACCACAAACAGGTACGACCCGACAATCGTGGCCGTGTGCGACAGCCGCCGGTGCGTCACGGGGATCGACACGGCGCGCCACAGGTGCGTCTCGACGTCGTACACCCACACATCGTTGAAGCACTCGCCGCCGTCCGAGCCCCCGAAGATGATGAGCTTGGTGCCCACCATGTTGGCCGTGTGGTAGCCGCGGGCTTTGGGACGCGCCTGGTTCAGCAGGTGCGGCTGGTTGAGGAACGCCGCCCCAGCCGGGTCCTCCTTGCTGCTAAAGAGTGCCGTGGACGGCGCAGGGTTCGCCGCGCCGTTTTTGCTGCTCGTGGCCGTGGACGCGGCCGTGGACGATCCGGCCGCGAGACCAGCGCCAGTCACGCCGAGGCCGGTAGCCTTTCCCGCGTCCTTGGCCGCCGTCGCAGCCGCCGCCGAGGCCGTACCTGCAGCAGACGAGGGACCGCCTTCGGCAGCAGAGCCGCCGTCGCCGTCCACGTCTGGAGAGTCCGTGTCGGGCGTGCCGCTGATTTGCTTCCACACCATCTTGGTCGTGTCGCTGACATCGAGGCGCCACACGTCGTTCAGCGCGCGGATGCCGTCGCCGCCGCCAAACACGTAGATGCCGTTTTTGTAGAGACAGGCCGTGTGTGCGCGGCGCTTGGAGGGAAGCGGGCGGTCGGTCGAGATGCGCGGGCGCGACCAGCGGAAGTTGGTGGTGTCGAGCACGTAGACGTCGTTGTAGTACAGGGGGCCGTCGCCACCGCCAAAGACGACGAGTTTCTTGCCGACGGCCGTGCACGTCATGGCGCGCAGTGGAAGCGGGATATCACCGACGACGTGCGGCTTGGTCCAGTGGAACGAGTCGGCGTCAAAGACGTACAGGTCGTTGAAACACGCGCGCGCGTCGCAGCCTCCAAAGACGTAGATGTTGGAGCCAATCAGCGTCGCCGTGTGCGCACGCAGCTTGGGATGCCGCACACCAGACACGGGCGCCCGTGTCCAGTACATGCCCGACGAGGGCGCGGGCAGCACGTCGGGCGCTGTGCTTGGGTCAGCCAAGGGCGGAAATGCCGTGTAGCCGGCGGGCCGTCCTTTGGACAGTCGGTCGCTGGTGTTCCCGCCGCCACCGCCTCCAATCCCACGGCCGCCACCGCTCGTTGTGCTTGCTGGTGTAGCGCGTGACGACGAACTGCCGCCGCCGCCACCGCCGCCTCCGCCGCCGCCCGAGCGTACTGTGCTTGACGACCCGCCCCCCGCAACATTGCCATACACACTCGGTTTGCTGGCAATGGCCGACGTTGACCGCATAGCCGATGGTCTGCGGCGGCCATTCCCCTCGGCCGCGGGTTGGGAGTCGCTGCCACTGCCGCTACCGCCGCCGGTGGAGTGCACGTCGCTGTTGCCGGTCCCGTTACCGGTGCCGCCGCGATAGGGTGACCGTGCCGATGGTGTGGACGCAGAGGTTGTGAGTGGCCCGGCACCGCCGCCGGCCCGGCCGAGCGCCTTGGAGTTGGAAACGGAGAGGTGGAACGTGGTGGGCGAGTCTGCGTTGGACGACGGCACGGGCGCTGCTGACGACGCCGAGGCGGCAGCAGCGGCGGTGGCCGCCGCAGACAGCGAGCTGGACGACTGCGACCGCTGGCGGATGGACAGCTCGGTGGGCTTGCGCCGGCGGTCCTGGCTCTTGGTGGACAGGTGGCCGGGCGTGTGGCTGCGCTGAATGGGCGGAACTGGGATCGCGGCGGTGGGGGGTGCGGTCGTGTTGGCGCTTGACGTGCTGGTCGTGCTGTTGGCACGGTCGCGCTGTTCACGTCGTCGTCGGGCGCTGCTACCACCACCGTTGCCGTGGCCTTGGTGGTGGCTGTCGTCAAACGTGGAGGCCTCGTCCTCGGCGGGCGAGGCCAGCTGCTGGATCTTTTGCGACCGCATCACCTTGGAGCGCTGAGGCGAGCGCGGCGTCTGGCGGCCAGTGTCAGCCATGCCGAGCCACAGGGCGCATTGGCCACGGGGCGAGGTTTCTGGCTGATGCTAGCTCGAGTGGGAAGAGGATGTCTGTCGGCGAAGCGGCGTATCGACAGAGGATAGTCGTGTGGGGAACGATTGGGAATTGCAACGGCCGGCGACGAGGAGAGTGGCGTGGGCAGCGGCAAAGCTCGTAGAGGTGACTATGTTTCAAGATACCAAGGCGTTTGAAGGCGCGAGCAGGTCGAGATCGCCAGAGACGAAATAAACAAAAAAAAAAGCAACAAATTTTCAGGTCAACGACGAGGTTAGCGAAAGGCGAGGGCACGAAGAGGCCCGAAACAGTGCTCGCAGGAACCAAGGAGCGGGAGAGGAGGTGAGACCCAGACCAAGCCAGAAAGGGGCTGCCAATGTTTACCAGGGCGAGGTGTGCATCCAACGGCGAGTCCTCGGTTGGTGGTTTGTTAGTTGGGTCTGTGTGTCGAGAGTGCGGCGGTAGACAGAACCAGATATGAGACGGGCTGGACCTTTGGCGTTGGGAAGGAGAGCACCTAGAAGCTGTGCGGTGCTACGAATTAGTGGGACGCCGCTTCCGCAGCCCGCCCACACGGTCTTGCCTTTTTAACTTCCAGGGCGCACGAGCCCCTCCCTCTTTTCCTCCCCGCCCTGATTATTCTGTATTAAGATACGTCGTGGATTGGCAGGAACGACTGGGCAAGGCTCACCTGGACAAACCCCTGGAACGCTTCGGTTGCAGTGTTTCAGTGGGTTAAGGCCGGTGAGGCGCTAGCATGCGCTAGAGCAGCGGCAGTCAACGGTGAGATGTGGTGATAGCTGTGACAAGACACCGAGTTCATGCGACGAAACGCGAGGCAAAGTGGCCCAATTGACTAAAACTCGGGATTTAGGGATGACCGATAGACGCAGAGAGCCTTTTTGTCATATTCGGAGACGGCTGCGAGAGCTTGTTAGGACTAACGCTCTCACCCGGATAAGCTGAAGCGCCCCGATTGGTGCATTGATATGCATATATCGGGTCTATAAAACCTTTTCTTAGAGCTCTTTCTTATATACACTCCGCAGCTCAACAGCACAACGCATATTCCTGTCACGGCGCCAGAAGACAGGATCCCACACGATGGTGTCTGAAAACGGAGATACCAACGTGCAGACCGACACCGCAGAGGCTGTTGTACCTGGCTCGCCAGTAAAGCGGAGTCTTGGCAATGGCGCTGCAGCCGAAACCAGCACGGCGGACGACCCTGCAAGCAATGCGCCGTCTGCAGGCACAGAGGGCCATGGCGACGACACGGAGCACCGGCAGAAGCGGGTCAAGATGGACGCCGGTGTGCAGGGGCCGGCGAAGCGCGAGAAGATCCACGGCATCGCCATGATCAAGGAAGAGTGCGTTGTGGTGGAGGCTGTCTCGCTTCATAATTGCAATATGTAATTACATATGAAAACCGGGCTAACAGAAAGACAGATACCTGATCAAGGGCATCGGCGACGACCCAAGAGGGTCCCGCGCTGAAGCTGATGTGGACGACGACGCGGCAGAGGGCCGTGACGGCCGTGAAGCGGGAGGCGGCAGCGCCGCCAACGGCGGACGCAAGAACCGCAAAAAGGGCGGCCAGAACAAGGACCGCGACTTTGGCCGCTCGCGGGACGCCCAGAAGCTGTGCTCGTCGGTGTCGCACTCCAACGAGTTCTCGCCCAAGCTGTGCCGCTACGGCGACAACTGCCGGGCGCTGCATGACCTGCGCAAATACCTGTATGGGGGCGGCCGCCGCGGCGACCTGGAGACATTTGAAGGCCAGTGTCCGGTGTTTGCTGCGTTTGGCCGGTGTCCGTCGGGCTGGAAGTGCCGCTTTGTCGGGAGCCACATGAAGGAGGTCGAGCACGAAGACGGGCGCACTGAGCTGACGCTGCTGGGCGGCAGCAGCAACAGCAACAGCAGCAGCGACGAGGCGTCGACGGAGGCGGCCGACGATCTCGACGATGCACGCCCCGGCGTTGTCAACATTGTGTCGGCCATGGACAAGCAGAACCTGACGCGCCGGCGGATGGATCTGAGCCGGTCGGAGCAGTACATCAAGTGGCTCGACAGCGAGCTGAACATTGTCAAGAAGATCTACAACGCAAACGGCACGGACGCGACAAAAGAGGTTGCCGATTCGACGGCAGAGACGACAGACGGCGGCGACGGTGCCGCCCCCACCGCAGAGAACGGCGCGGACGAAAGCAAGCCGCGAGACGCCGGCGCGAGCACACTGGTGCAAGACTACCGGGCCCAGTTTGTGGATCCGCCGTTCCTGCCGTCGGAGAAGCGGCGCATCTACTTTGGGCCAGAGACGCCGACGCTGGCGCCGCTGACAACGCAGGGCAACCTGCCGTTCCGGCGGCTGTGCGTCGAGCTCGGCTGCGAGGTGACGTACTCGGAGATGGCGCTGGCGGTGGACATGGTCACGGGCAAGCAGCCGGAGTGGGCGCTGATGAAGGCGCACACGTCGGAGATCCAGGCGCCGCGCTACACGCCGACGACGCCGGTGGCGGGATACGACAACCGCCGCGACATCAAGTTCGGCGCGCAGATCGCGGCGAACCAGCCGTGGATGGCCATCAAGGCGACGGAGGCGATGACGCGGCTGCTGCCGCACCTGCGGCTCGTCGACATGAACTGCGGGTGCCCAATCGACCTGATCTACAAGACGGGCGGCGGGTCGGGGCTGCTCGAGTCGCACAACAAGCTGGAGCGTATGATCCGCGGCATGAACGCGGTGTCGGGCGAGGTGCCCATCACGGCGAAGCTGCGCATCGGCGTGCGCGACAACAGCCCGACGGCGGCCAAGGTGATTGAGCGGCTGGCGTTTGGCGGCCTGGAGACGCGCACGCGGCTGGGCGCGCCGGGGTGCGCGGCCATCACGCTGCACGGGCGCACGCGCAACCAGCGCTACAAGAAGCCGGCCGACTGGGGCTACATTGCCGAGTGCGCCGCGCTGGTCCGGTCGTACAACGAGCAGCGCGACGCGCTGGCCGACACGGTGCGCGAGCCGGACGCGCGCACGCAGGCCAACGCGTCGCGCATGTTCTTCTTGGGCAACGGCGACTGCTACAGCCACGTGCAGCACCAGGAGCAGATTGCGCAGTCGGGCGTCGACGCGGTCATGATTGGCCGCGGCGCCCTCATCAAGCCGTGGCTCTTTGAGGAGATCCAGGCCGGCCAGTACCTGGACAAGTCGGCGACGGAGCGGCTGGCGTACGTGGAGCGGTTTGCGCGGTACGGCATGGAGGCCTGGGGCACGGACGAGTACGGCCTGGGCACGACGCGGCGGTTCCTGCTCGAGTACCTGAGCTTTGCGACGCGGTATGTGCCCATTGGCCTGCTCGAGTACCTGCCGCCCAGCTTGAACGACCGGCCGCCGGCCTTCCGCGGCCGCAACGAGCTGGAGACGCTGCTGTCGAGCCGCAACTACAAGGACTGGATCAAGATCAGGTGGGTTTGGCGTTTGCATCCTTGTGGCCTCTTGTCTTTGACTCTGCTAACCATGCTAACAATGCAAACAATACAGTGAAATGTTCTTGGGCCCCGCGCATCCCGACTTTAAGTTTGTGCCCAAGCACAAGTCCAACGCATACGAAATGGAGGCCGAGGGGTGAGGGAGGGTTGTCGTCCTTTTGTTGATGTATTGTTGGTTTTTGTGATGCCGAGTGCATTGTCCGTTTTGATCTGTTGGCCTTTGTTTCTGTTGTCATTTTGTTAGAGCGCCTTCAGTAGACATGTGTGGAGTTCATTTTTGTCTTGCTTTTCATCCCAGTCCAGGCGAGATAACTGCTCAGCAAGGGGCAACTCTCCCTTGTCTCTGAAGTCTTTCATACCCTCTTCGTCGTCCATGTCTCTGTCTCGCTTCGTCCCATTCTGGTTCGTTGTATGTGGTTGACTTTCGAGGCCCTCTGTCTTGGCTCTCCTCTTTGGCCTTCGTCTTCATACCTTGCATTTTCGTCGTATTTCTGTGCCTTTTTTTTTTCTGACAAATGACAGGCTTTGGCAACTTGTTGTCATTTCGATGCAAGGGACACATTCGTTAAAGAGACATTTTCTACCGTGCGCAAGTGCAACGTTAGACCTGCTTTGTCTCTTTCTGTCGTTTATCCACCATCCTTTATCTCCAGCTCATATTCAAACGCTCAACGGCTTGTGGTCTGCGTCTCGGAACCACCTCTCCAGTTCCAGCCTTCGTCCCCTTTAATTCTCGGCAATACGGCGACCTGCCAAATCCGGCCGAGGTTTGATTCTATATGTACAATGCATCCAAATCCAAACTTTGCTTCCATTGTACATAGTCCGTACTCTGTCCACGTTCGTGCCGTTGGCAAACAGGTCGCTGGCGTGGCCACGATACGTGTGATGGGCTTTTTCACAGACAGACCACAAAATAAAGACCCGATCCGATGGTATTCTGGTATTCTTTCTTTTTTTTTTTTTTTTTTGTATTATTCCCCTTCCTCGTCTCGGTTCCAGCAGACGACACAGCCAACATTCAAGAACGCCAGAACTCCCGCCACTTCAAGCCCATAAAAGAACAACACAGAACCAACAGACTATAGCATAATGCTGTAAGATGTGGACGGGTAGGTGATGTGTTCTGTTATGTAGGCATACGCACGTAAGGATCGTTGGCCTTTCCACTTTCTTTCTTCAGTCATTACTCTGTTTTTTATCTCCTTTTGTTCATATTCTTTCTTCTTCCTTCACCGGTCCCCTTGCATCAACCTGCATATGCAGTGCACGCCACTGGAATTGGTCGAGACCATTCGGACTTTTTTTTTCTTGCTTGATCCAAAGACGCACAGAGCGGTCGTTGGCGCGCAGAAGTCCGGTCCCACGTCTAGCTACATCGGGTCTCAAAGAGTTAACTCACCGGTGCTGTGCTTCACCCTGCCAGGAGATACTTTCGTTTTCTTCACTCCTTTTGTGTTTTTGTTAGGCAGTCCCTTGCGTTATGGAAATCGTTCTGAAA